TCCACATCCTCCAGAGCCGACTCAGAGGGCTCCTCGCTGTCGGAGTCTGATGGCAGCTCCAACGGCTCCTGCTGGGGCCACAACAGGCATCTATACATACCACAATCATCCCAAAATAAGGAAATATCACAAGCCTAACTCTGGGGTAGACATAATAGGTCACGTGGTTTCCATTGTGATCTCACAATACATGTTTTCTCATCCCCTTGCAGATGCCTATGGGTAGGAAGAAAATTATGTTTTCCTTTATAGTCTCAGGGTAGAAAGTGACAGGAGGCAATATGTATTCTAATTAGGTAAATTTCATTTTGTACTTGGAAATTGCGGTATGTGATGAGAAATATTGAGATATGAGAGATATGTGATGAGTTACATTTGTCCTCCTATGTTGAGTTGTCCAACAGAGAATGGTGAGTTATCTTGTGGCGAGTTGGCCATGGCGAATTGTTATAGACCCTCTGTGCTTATATTACATATTTATCTAAATATTCTACAGTGACAATTGTTCATTTGAGTCATTAGAAATCCTGCCTTACGGTTCTCAATAATCTAGAAATCTGTTAAACCTTTCTGCCTTTTACAAACAACATTTCCAATGCAAATATTTCGAAAGAGATAGTCATATTTAATAGGAGCAACAATAACCCCAGAGAGATTTTTAATGCCTGAAGATTAGAAAAAATAATCTTACGAAAGCAGGTTGTAAACTTTTATGGATCAAATCCAAGTAATCAGATAATAGTCTGAAGACCGTAATTAATTGAATAAATTGGATAATCCAAATTGAATAAAGGGATTTTTGCATTTAACCTCTTCAAATACTCATTGGTTGATTCAGTTCCCCAGAATATACGTTTTAAGAACAATATAAAATAAATAAAAATCTCAGTTCAGCAGCCAACATATCAAAATATGAAGTATACCGTATGCGTTTAAAGAGTCTATAATTATTTTCAAGCCATTTGATCATTCTTAAAATACCCTGTGGGTTCAAAATGCTCAGACAGGCATTTAAAAATTGCCTACCAGGTCAGAGATAATACTGAAGGGGAAACTATATCTCATCATTACATACAGGTCTCCGTGATGTTTCAAAATGGAGTGAAAAAACAAGAAAGCCTTTGGAAGCAATGTATGGACATGAATATTTCAGCAAAATATGTTCAGCTTGGGTAGATGGAATCTCCCAGTTCATGAAAAACCCAAATGGTAAGAACCTGGAACTGTGGCCTAGTTTGTTTTATCTCTTTTTTTTTTAAGTAATACTTTTGTGTTTCCCATATCCCAGATACATTATCCTCCTGCCTTTGCTGCAACTTTTCATTCTTGCCATCTTTCTCTTGATGTTGTTTTCAGGAAAAGTTGCATGTGAAAGAGAGACTTGGGGGACGGGGTGGGTGGGAGGTCTGTGGCATAGCATAGTTGCTTTCAGAAGATCATAGTGCTATGCAGGGCTGGGTTCCTGCCAGTTCTAACCTCTTCTATAGAAGAGGTTCCACAGATCTACTGTATGTTTAGAACCGGTCCATCTGCACATCATCAAGATGAAGAGCGAGAGGAGGAATTCTGGGAGTTAAGGCCACAAATCTTAAAGCTGTCAAGTTTGAACACCCCTGGGTTTTTTTCTAAAGGGTTAGGGGTGAAAGGGTCTTGTAACTTGACAGCTTTAAGACTTGTGGACTTCAATTACCAGAATTCCTCTGCCAGTCATGTTGGCTGAAGAATTCTAGCATTGAAGAGTGCAAGTCTTAAAGTTGTCAAGTTACAAGACCCTTTCACCCCTAACCCTTTAGAAAAAAACCCAGGGGTGTTCAAACTTGACAGCTTTAAGACTTGTGGCCTTAACTCCCAGAATTCCTCCTCTCGCTCTTCATCTTGATGATGTGCAGATG